AAGGCCAGTAATGCTGGTCAGGGTCACATGGGAGGTCTGGAGCCAATCACAGGCAATGCAGGGTTGCACATGTTGCTACGCTTTTGCATGGTCTCTGTCTTTGTGCTGTTTCTGCCATGTTTGCTCCGTGCGCTCGATGTTCACGCCTTTGTCCCGCAGTCTGCATTTCTTGTAACCAAAACATGAGTGTAACACTTCGCTCAAACCTCAGTTCTCTTTTAGCCTGTCTGACTGTCAGCTGTCTGTCACCCAGCCGTTCTTGCAACAATATAAAAATACATCCCAAAAGCAGTTTATCTAAAACCTAGTTAAGAAAAATATACCTTCTGCCCAGTTTTCTCTCACAGAGGAAACCTGCATGGGAGGACTTGCAAGCTGCACACTCAGAGACCAGCGTGTGAGAGGAGACTGCTCCCCACTGAGGCACTTTACAGCTTCAATGTGCTTTAAAGGGGCTTCATTTACTATTTATGTTAGAACATTTCTGGATCAGCAGGTAGAAGCAGGGTTACACGGTCGATGTAAAAACTCACTGCAACCTGTGACCCAAACAGGAAGATTCAAAGACTCAGCTACACTTTTAGGGAAACTAGTCCTATAATGGATATATTCAGCACCTCTAGTGCAATCAGACCAAGGAAGTACAGTTTAACTAAACTTCTGAAAACAACAACTGACACACTCCACTGGTTCTGAGGTTGAGAGCTGAGCCTGATTGTCTGCAGCTCCTAAGAACACCAGGCCCAGCAGCAGCGGTCTGGCATAACTGACTGTAACTACACAGAGGAAAGAGGAAGCGGTTTACTCAGAAGCAGAGGAGGGGTGAGTGGGGCGGCCTAATAGCCAAGCTAAAGGCTAATGAGCCCAGACCGGCTATTCCATCACTAATCCTGGCTAATGCACGCTTATTGGACATTGAAATGAACTGAAACACAACATTTATTGGGAAATGATGAACTGTTGTGTCCTCCTACTGACTGAAATCTAGCTTAACAACAACATATCAGAAACTACCAACTCATTGGATCGCTGCCCTGCCACGCTGATCAGAATTCCCTGTCGGGAAAAAAACGAGGAGGCAGAGCCTACATATACCTAAACAAAATTCGGTGCACCAACTGCTCTCTTGTTACAGCCATTGTTCTACAGCAGTACAACACCTTACAATAAAATGCCGACCACATTATCTGTTATGAAAATTTCCTGCAGTGTTTATCATGGCTGTTTATGGTCCCCGATCGCTAATGCTAGCGACATGCTCAGCAAGCTTCACTACACCATTAGCTCGCTCCAAAACAAACACCTGAAAGCACTCAATGTGTCTTATTGTTCTGCTGTTCTGATGGACTCTCAGTGGCCGTTGATGATATTCTGCTCTGCATGAGGCTGCTGTACTTTGCAAATATTTGCTTGTTTGCGGCCTGCCTGCTGCCACAGTACTTGTCTTGCTCCTGACGTCCATCCTCCATGTTCCAGATGTTTCCAGTGATGGGACTTAGTCTTGTAGGTTCAGTTTCTCCAAGTAGTTCATGATAATCCACAGAGGTCCTGTTGTGTGATAAGATGGTGGCCATTTCTAACATACTGCATCACTGTGGTCTTTTCTTCCCCTTTTCATGTTTGATCTACAGCGTCCCTCCATAAAAGCCATATAAAGAACATGTCACATCACACACTGTCTGCACATTTGCTGCATGTTACTGTGCGCATGTGTTGCACCATTTTTCTTCTGAGAACAGAGACATAAAAGGATATCAGTGGTATCAGAGCGGACCAGGAAGAGAGAGCCAGTCTTCAGAGGGCTGGGGTCTCTGACAGACTCAGTCATGGCTCCTCTGCTCTTCCTCCTCCATGTCTTCTTCATTAGGCTGCCAGGTAAGACAGAAACATTCACCATTACGCAATATTCACAAATTCACCAGAAAGGACCATAAAAGAGGAACAATGTATATCAGTTTATATTTTCAGGTTGGTGTCTTTGTTTAAACAAAGAATAGACAACATCAATATTAATTAAACTTCTATTTACTGTATTACATTTCGTATTTTTTATTTCCCTGTGTTCTTGCTTGGCATCATAAATCGTTCAGTGTTATTATTGGCTGTTATTACCTGATTACTTGATGTTATTACTTAATATTGCTAGTGCTGTGTGATAGGTTACTCTGTATAATATTTGCTTTGATAGAAGTTGTTGTGTAGAAGTATAGTTGCTGTGTAGCTCCTGATCCAATACAGCTGACATTTGTACCTGTGCATTTATTAGAAGCTCAGCCTTGCTGCACTTATGCTAGTTGACATATTGACAGCACATATGTCTGTAATGTGCTATTTGCCAAAAAAGAAAAAGCATCCAGATCCAGTGAGCGGCGGTTCTCTGGATGAAAATGCCTTGTTGATGGCAGAGGACAGAGGATAATGGCCAGACATGGTTCAAGATGTTAGAAAGGCAACAATAAATGAAATACCCATTCATTACAAACAAGGTATGCTGAGGAGCATCTCTGAATGCACAACAGAAACCTTGAAGCAGATGGGCTACAGCAGCAGAAAAAAGATGGATGCTACACAGCAAATTTGCCAGTGTTAAATTAACACTGCATTGTGTTTATATAATTCTCACCAAATCAGTGTTACATTTAACACTGCAATGAGTGTTTTTGTATAGTGTTAAATTTTATTAGCTCTTACAGTGTTCAGTTGACAGCATAGAGTGTTAGATCACTGAAACTCTCGATGTTGGAAACCTCTTCCCAGATTCCAAGCCCATATAGGTGGCACCCAGGTAAATAATGGGTGGCTTATGTCTGGGGCAGCCAGCTATTGTGTTTGATTAACCCACCATCATAAGAAAGACTATGACCAACAAGGCCTTGTCACTTGTTATGTAAACTTTACATGGTTAGCTTTGATTTTTCTGAAGACCAGCCCACTGTGTTCTTGTAAGCTGAACACATGTTTCTTCTTTCTGAGTCTTACCTTACTTGTGTGTTTAAGTTAGGATTGAGTTAGCGAAATAATGTTTTAAAATTTCATTATTAATTTCTTTTTTTTAACATCTAAAATAGTTTCCTTGCACCAGTATAAGAGTAAACCAATTGAGCTCTCTCACAATAGCCTGTGGTATGAAACTGAATAAAATGTATGGCACCAGTCTTGGGGAAAACCAGTGATAATCAACTGTGAAATAGCACTGTGCAAAATGTCATGTGTTCCTAATGACAAGGCCAAGACTAGCCTCTCAGCAGGAGTGTTAGTGTAAAAGCAGTGCATATTGACACATAATAAAACTTGTTAGAATGCATAACATAATTATTTAGCAGGGTTCAGAGAAGGTGAGAGCTCCCCTAGTGGCTACAGGAGTGCATTTTCCCTAAAGCAGATATAATGGGTGGTGGCCGTTTAGCTTTTAGACCACAACTCGCGAAAGAAGAACAAATCAAATTATTTTCCTCATTTAATATTCAGATTTTTATTGGACTTAAATTTTAGAACACACCGTGTTCTAGGATGGTATGTCATGGATATTAGTCTCTATTACATTTCAGCATTAGGAATTCAGGCCTTTTACTATGTTTAAACTGATGTATGCCAGGTGGCCTGAGCAGTACACTAATTATGGTAGGTGTGACATTTGCTTATTTTTGTTTTAAATACATGCAATGTGACATTTTTCCTGGAAATTAGTTTAGCTCAGATTTGTCATCCTTTAACATTTGTCTTATCATGGCATTTCTCTCCAGCAAGCCTCCACACAAAGCACCAATCACTCACTAGCCTACAAAAATAAGCCACAGGATATTCCATTTCAGTGATTGTTTAGATACTTACAGTTTACTAAGGTTTCATACACATGAAAAGCAAGGCTTTGTTTAACATCATAGCACACAGCTCTTTGATCCTCAAAAAAAAATCAGCACTGAGCCAAGAAAAATTTAGTATATAATAAGTTAAGGCTGAGAGGTCCTTCTTGGTCAGAGTCTTTCTCATGATGGTTGGTAAATCAGGGTGTTTCTTATGATTCTCATATGAGTTCTTGTGTGCACATTAAAATGGGGCAGATAGGGGCCACCCATTATGCACCTGTGTGCCACCTATACGGGCTTGGACTCTGGGAAGAGGTGGAGTTACAGTGATCTAACACTCTATAGTGTCAACTGAACACTATTAGAGCTAATAAAATGTAACACTATAAAACAACACTCATTGCTAATTACTCAGAAGATCAAAAATTGGCATAAACAACATGGAAGGATGGAAACATCTTGCCTTGTATCAACAAATAAGGCTGCTGGTGCTGGTCTGATGGTGTGGAGAATATTTTCGTGGCACAGATTGGGCCCCTTAGTACCAATTGAACATCATCTAGATGCCACAGTCTACCTGAGTATTGTTGCTGACCATGTTCATCCCTTTGTGACCAGAGTGTACCCAGCTTGTAATAGCTACTTCTAAGAGGATAACACACCATGTCACAAAGCTCATATCATCTCAGACTGATTTTTGAACATGACAGTGACTTCACTGTCCTCAAATGGCCTCCATAGTTGCCAGATCTTGATCCAATAGAGCAGCTATGGGATGTAGTGGAACAGGAGATTAACATCATGAAGGTCCGGAAAATCATAATCTTGTCAACATGGACCAAAGTCTCTAAGGCATGGGTGTAATTTCCAGGGTGGTTAGGGGGGTCATGACCCCCTAATAATCAGATCCAGCCAATATAAGCCCCACAATAATCATGTTTCCCCCATAATGGGTGGAGACCTCGACCCCCCCAATGTTCCAGCCAAAGTTACGCCCTTGCTCTGAGGAATTACCTTGTTGAATTTGTGCAACAAAGAATTAAGGCAGTTCTGAAGGCAAAATGGGGACCAACCCAGTACTAGCAAGGTGTACCTAATAAAGTTACCCAGTAAGTGTATCTACACCATAGCTGCAGACTTGAGTTCACTCACGTGCTGAACTTGATCATTTATCACATTTGCAATAAAAGTGTCTCATATGGTGGGAGCAGGTTGACGGGCCCAAGATTGCCCACTGATTTAGAAACATTCCGTTACAGGTAAAGACCTATAACAATCTTATCATATCCTTCAGTCACTCACTGTTCTGTAAACTTATTGTTAACTCCCTGCTCCATTTAAAAAGCTCAAGCTCAGTATTTTACCTGTAGAATATGCTAATATCCCCCATTGTGGAATCATTACAGCCTTTTTTCTGAGATTTACTTTAATATAACTTTGGTGAAACAGTTTGCTAAATATTCTGAATCAATAAACCATGTCATTTCAAAGTGTCACACCTTTATTCCTTGGGGGAGTGGCGCCCCCTAGAGGGTTTCTCTGGGAGTAATGGGAATTACAGTGTCTCCCTGTTTCCTATGAAGACATCTCTCCAGTGCTGCTCCGGAGCTGCCCTGTGAGCACTGACCGGCCAGCAGACAGGCAGGCAGAGGCCCTGCAGCTTATTAGTTTTAGGGCAAGGATTTTGTTGAAATATAAAAGAAAGGACAGTGTGCCTTGGTGGTTTGCATTTGAGGAGGGGGTGGAGCATTAACTGCATATGCCCCACCATGACACTGACCCGGTCCCAGTGGCTGTAAAGACAGTGAATTGCTTAGTGCACCATTTATATCAGTGATCTCCAGTCGCATTTACACTGCGAGCGACTATTTCAAAGAGAATAATCTGAGGAGCTACGGAGTCATACTGGTCGATTTTGCAGGCCATGGTCGGGGGGGTCTTCTATGGTAGACAAAGATCAACCAGTTGGTAAACACTGATTTACATGATGTCCCTGCAGGTGGTGACAGTGTGTGGACATTCCAGTATTTAACTGCACAGAGTGGAGAATCTCTCACCATCCCATGTTTCTATGATCAGAAGTATAAAGATCATGTGAAATACTGGTGTAGAGGGGGATTATGGTCCTCCTGTACAATCATGGCACGCACAGACTCACCACAGAGCTCCAGTAAAGTGTCAATCACTGATTATTATGCCCAGCTAGTTTTCAATGTGACCATGAGGGACCTGGAGAAAAGTGACACTGGTATCTACTGGTGTGCTGTAGAGATTGGTGGAGTTGGCGAGATGGACGACTCTAAGAACCTGTTAATAGAGGTTAAAGGTGAGATGTTTTAACAAATTTCGCAAATTTTTTTGCCAGTATCAGTGGGTTAGAATGTGTAGCATTTGAATACTAAAATAAGCAAACGGTACTTCGTTTCTCTCCTATTCACACAGATGCTCGGAGTGTGAGGACTGTAAGCTGGGTACCTGCAGAGAGAGGAGGATCTGTCACCATCCCATGTTACTATGATCAGAAGTATAAACACCATGTGAAGTACTGGTGTAAAGGGCGTGACTGGAATTCCTGCTCCACATTGGCACGTTCTGACTCCAATCAGCCAGCAGGGAAAGTGTCAATCAGTGATGACCCCGCCCACCTGGTCTTTAATGTGACCATGAGGAACCTGAAGGAAACGGACTCTGACACTTACTGGTGTGTTGTGGATATTCAATGGTTACCAGATGATGGTGTCTATCTACAGCTGATTGTGATGGAAGGTGAATTATTAAATTAGCCTGCAGGTCAAGGACTGCAGATTATATTAACTCCTCTGCATGTT